TGAAGCCGATCTAACAGAGGGTTGTCCAATTTTCTCTTGAATGTCTCCAGTGTTGGAGCACTCACCAACTCCTAAGGTCGTGGGTTCTCTTGTCATACTGTTTTATATATTATTAGGTTTTAGTAATGTATTATTTTATTGTATTTTATCATTTTTTTTGTAAGCTGCCCCGAGTAGACTTTGTCTAGAGGGGCAGGGTATAAATCTAAATAAAGTAAAGTAAAAGTACTGCTTTAACGATCTAAATAAAGTAAAGTAAAGTAAAAGTACTGCTTTAACAGTTAAGGCCTAAATCTGGCTTCTTGTAACTTGAGCCCATTGTTGCGTGTCCTGCACTGTGGGATTATTGAGAACAGATCCTGGCCTTCCTCTTTGTGACAATCTTTCCAGTCTTTGAAGAGTGTTATTGTTTTATCTCCCCCCAGTCTTCTTTCCTCAAGGCTAAACATGCCCAGTGCTTTCAGTATTTCCTTACAGGGCTTGGTTTGGAGTCCCCTGATCCTCCTCATTGCCATCCTCTGAACTTCCTCCAGTTTGTTGGCATCCTTCTTAAAGTGTGTGGAAGCACAAAAGAAATACGGTGTAGTTCCTGTTTTGTGTTTTTAAAATCTTTTTCTCACAAGCATTTTCTCCTGGGCAGGAGAAAGAGACACAGAGCAATGTTGAAACCTTGAGGTCATGAAATCTGCATCTTCCTTCCAGGGGCTGTTAGCTCTCTAGGATTATATTCAGCTCCATTTGAAACCACATAGATATGTGGTCCCCAACCTTGGGCCTGCAGATGTTCTTGGACTACAACTCCCAGAAATCTTCACCACCACCTCTGCTGGCCAGGATTTCTGGAAGTTGAAGTCCAAGAACATCTGGAGGCCCAAGGTTGGGGACCACTGACATAGATAATAAGGCAGCCCTCCGAAACGTAAGCTTCCCAGGTGTGTTACATCACTGTTCCCATCTCTTCCTTCCTAACTACAGGCACCACCCAATGTTTTTTTAGAGTAGAGGTGGGAGTTAAATGCAATTAATAATTAACCAAGACACCTGCATTTTAAAGCAGTGACAATCAGGGCTGGATCCTGCACCTCAGACCAAACTAAGCATATGTTCAGGGTAAAGCCCTTTAGGGTTAATTTCATTCTGTGTGCTTACACATGCTCACCTGTAGAATGTTCACCTTTTTCTTTCATTCATTCATTTCTTCATTCATTTTTTTCTTTCATTCTTTCTTTCCTTCTTTCTTTCAAAAATAATGTGGGAAAAGTTATTATTCCTACGTGAATTTTGAGCAAATTAACCTGTGCTAGTGCTGGATAGAAGGTAGACCAACTCCGTCTCCTGGTAGATCTTTGGGTGATAAGATTAGCAAGGATTTCTGACAGCAAATTAATGATTGTCTCTTGTCCCTAAATTATGCAATAAGTAATACAGTAAGCCAATATCGTGATGACAATTGTTTATGACTGTCACATTCATTGTTTATGCTCTGTGTTAAGCATGCAACACATTTCAGCACACTATGTATTACATCGAGAGCGATTACAAAGAAGAATGCAAGATATTTCGTGAAAATGAGGCTGTGCATTCCCTAAAAGGCATTGGTTGAACTGCCCCAAGGGGTTTGGTTAGCTAATCACATCCTTAAGAAATACTGGCATTTCTCAAAAGTCCAAACTATGGGTTCCAAATTCTCCACCATTCTGGAAAGAAGGGGAGATTTGTTGTGAGCGTGCATGGCAGCAAAAGGGTTAATCATGAAGCTGCAACAGTGCCTTCCTCTAAAGAACAGGTGTAGGCCACAGGTGCATCCTTGACTCCTTTTGCTTCTCACAGAGCCTCTCTTGCATCCCTATCTGTGTAAAATGTGTTGTTAGTTGTCCAGCTTTTCAGAAGAGGTCTCTGGAACTTCTCCATAGCTGGTTCTCAGGTTCTTCTGAGGTCTTTCTCCATTTCATTCCACTAACAACATGCCACTCAGCTTCTTGGCCTCAATTAAGGATGTGAGGATCAGTTTTGCTTTCAGATATGTGTTGGGGGTAGCTAGGTGGCTTCACAGAGCAGCTTTCCACACTGCAGCTACTGCTGTTTTCGATCTCTCTGAACACCTGCCTGGATTGAATTGTTCCACTCAGTTTTGCTTTCAGATATGTGTTGGGGGGGAGCTAGGTGGCTAGCTTTCCACACCGCAGCTACTGCTGTTTTCGATCTTTCTGAACACCTGCCTGGATTGAATTGTTCCACTTTGGGAAGGTGAGTGTTTGGGAAGAATGGGCTGGCCTTAGAGCCCAAGTCCAGCTTGTCTGAATTCTACTTTTCTTTGGTTTTTCTACCCATGGGGGGCTCTTCTTCCCTAGTCTTGTTTGTGTACCTCAAAATGCAGGTGGGTGGGTGGGTGAGAGCCCATTGTGGAGTAATTTTAGAAAATAACATGAACGAATTGTTGCAGAATTTTGAAATTTTGCAGTTAACTTTCCTCAGTTGTGTAGCAGAAGTGGAAGGACCCACAGAGCATCACAGTTACTGGTTCTTAGGGGTCTTGTGGTGCCATGGTTAAACTCAGGTAGCTTAATGAGTTAAATCAGCCTTTCATCTTTTTGAGGTCAGCAAGTTGCGTACCCCAGTTCGCTGGGGATGGGAGTGAGGTGCCATGTATACCCTGCATAATTAGATTGCAAACAATCCAGAGAGAGCTTTATGCACTATGGGGTGGAATACAAGCTGCATGCTTTGCTTTGTTTTTTGTGGTTCCCAGGTAATCCACTCCTCTCTCCTTAACTGTTGCACTGTCTCAACAACTCTTTTTGATAAATTAAAGAATGGAAACATTCCATTTACTTACAGATGTTAATATGTTAACAACAAACTGGCTGACAACGTGACCGCTTCAACAACTCTGCTTTAATATACTGTAACTGACATCTTCTACCAGCCACCATCGATGGACATTAACAGACTCTCTTTGGAAAAAAAAAAAGACGCTGTCAGTTATAGGGATGGGAACCTCTTAGAATTCTGACCCACAGGACAGAACTATTATTTCATGCTGGACAGACTGACAGTTACTCCCTGCCTAGAAAGGGCCCTCCCATTCAAAGCAGCATGTGAGGTTGTAAACGCCAAGGCTAATTTCCTAAAAAACTAAACTAATTCCTTTAAACAAAGGTTCAGCATACATTCTGAGCCAGAAGACACATCCACCCTCTCAATTGTTGTGTTCTCCCGTATTGTGCTTGATGATGCTTCTGGTTTTTATCCCCATTCCCTGTCAGCCATAATGTGGAATCTCTGCAGATGCTACAGACACTGCCAGGGTTGAGTCCAGACTGCTCTTTCATAACCAGCACCATTTTATGATGCTGTAGCTCTGTTAGGAGGATGACCATATGGGTAATAAACAATGATTAATTGGCTGAATTATGGTTTGCATTGGAGAACGGGAAGCGGACATTCCTTTGGCAGGGCTTTTTGCGTATCTACCCTTTCCTCAGGCTGGCATTGGTTGAGAGAAACACAAAATAGGTTATCAAAGCGATTTGGATAGGGGTCCAGTTTTGGTCCCCCGTCAAAGGCTTGGGCTATCATCTCCATTGTTGTTTTGATGTTGCTTCTTTGATGGGAAAGAATTGGGTGGCGGATCTGTCATCGTGGCTTAATTTTCCAAGGGAGCTTCAAGTGTCCGTACCTTTCTAGCAATTATTGGTAGCGATGTGATGTTATGATTTTCTGGACAACAGATACTGTAATTCTCCTTTTGGGGAGTCCTGCCTACCTTAGAGACACCTAATTGGCATGCTTCTGGGAGAAAGGCTTACGTTGAAAACCTTGGATAGTTAGCTGGCACCACCTAGTTTCCGCTCACTGAAAGACAGCTTCCAGCGAGCACTTGGGCAGGAAGAGGAAACTTGGGTGGAGTTTGTTTTAGCTCCACCTCACAGCTTCTCAGGCTGGGCCTTTATCCCAGGTGCCCCACATTTAGGTGACTATGACAGAACTCTGAGAATGGAGGATGATGGAATTAATATTCCAGAACATCCACAATGTAGGTTGTGCTCCGTCTCCTTCCTTCTCAGATCATTCCATATGTTGTTTCTTTCCTGCTGCATCCCTTGGCCATTCATTCATTCATTCATTCATTCATTCATTCATTCATTCATTCATTCATTCATTCATTCATTCAGAGTGGTATAGATTTACCAGATGAGCGGGATATAAATCAAATAAATAAATATATAAATAAAATTCATTCATTCATTCATTCATTCATTCATTCATTTACTTATTTACTTATTTACTTATTTACTTATTTACTTATTTTGCTGCTGGAAAATGGGCATGGTGGTGCTGCAAGTTAAATTGCTGAAGCCTCTGTGCTGCAAGGTCAGGAGACCTGCAGTCGTAAGATCAAATCCACATGGCGGAGCAGCTCCCATCGCTTGTCCCAGCTCCCACCAACCTAGCAGTTTGAAAGCATGTAAAAATGCGAGTAGATAAATAGGTACCACCACAGTGGGGAGGTAATGGCATTCCGTGTCTAGTCATGCTGGCCACGTGACCACGGAGGATTGTCTGCGGACAAACGCTAGCTCTGTGGGCTGGAAACAGAGATGAGCACCGCTGCGTAGAGTCAGACAGGACTGGACACATTGTCAAGGGGAATCTTTACCTTTTTACCTTTAGAGAATGGGGACGGATTCTGTTGAGCTGCCACCTAGAGTCAGACAGGAACCGCCGCCTAGAGTCGGACAGGACTGGACACATTGTCAAGGGAAATCTTTACCTTTAGAGAATGGGGACAGATTCCGTTGAGCTGTTTGGCAGAACAGTTAAATGGACTTTCCATGTGGCGGAACAGTGTATCCCTGAACGATGCTAGAGGAGGAACAGGAAAGAAGGCCCGGCTGGTTGATCCCTGCAGTCACACGAGTCTCTGTGGAATCAAGGGGTTGGATGAGATCAAGTCTTTGCTCGATCTTAAGGTCTTCTGTTTTTTCTTTCTTTTACAGGCTGTGCCTTCCTAACATACTGTGAGAGGGAATCTGCACTTAAAGCCCAGAGTGCGCTGCATGAACAGAAGACGCTGCCAGGGGTGAGTCCCGACTGCTTTTATTGAAAATAACGGTTACCGTCTTCTAATGTTGTGGTTCTGTCTGGAGGATGGCGGTTACTGATAGTCAACAGATGGTTGTCTGGTTGACTTTACGGCTTTCCTTGGAGAAGCGAGAACTGATGCGTATTTGCGTAATGGTTGTACATCTACCCCGTCTCTGTTTCCACATTGTTCATTAAAGGGGCAACAAAATCAAAGAGAACTATACATGGGCCAGATCCTCCTGTTGGACCTTTTGGAAGATTTTCAGAATCTGGACGTCAATGACTGAACAAGTTGTTTGGGTGTATGTGTGTGTATGTGTGTAAGGCTTTGTTCTCTTCTTGGCCAAGAAAGTTGACTTTAGAATGGCATTTGTGGATGTTGAGCTCTTCATGGTCCTGGAGACATTTAGGAATGGACATTGGTGCTTCAATTAGTGTTTTTTTTGGGGTGGGGAGAGAGTGGCCAAAGAATGAGGCTCATATCTAGCACAAAAAGCAGACACTGGGAGAAGTGAAGATCAGAGAATCTTCACAAAAGCCAGGCAGTGATATTTGAGCAACACAGATATAGCCAACTCTACCCACGTACCCTTAAAAAAATGCATATATGATTCCTTGAAAAGGCATGTCAGGATCAATGGGATGACAAAAGACTTCAATGAGACAAGAATTGAGGAAACTGTGGGAACTTTTGGAAAATTTGTCTTCCTATATACATAAATTACTAGGACAGATAACTGCACCGAAGTTTGTGATATATACGTACATGTGATTTACTATGCAATCTCGTGCCTCTTTACTCAGACAGATGTATGCTGTGTTTCACATCCCAGTTAAACATGCATAGGATAGTAGCCTTAGGGTCTCTTTCAAAGTCTCACTTTATAAGAATTTTCAAGGGGTGGAGCTGAAAACATCTCTCTCGTGTGTGTGTTTTAAAAATAGCATTATTTTTTTAAAATTTTAATTTCATGTATTTTCCCTTTCAGATTAGAAGTTCAGATTTGGTAGTGAATGTTACAGCAGGACTGAGGCTGAGCCAGTGTCAAGGTTGGGACAGGCGTCAAGGTTAGGACACAAGATGGGAACCTGCTGAGAAGATAAATAAGTAAATAGTTTAAAAACTGGACAGAGACAGCTTGGATCCATTAGTTTTTATCACCCGTGCCTGAGTACTGCTGTATGTTTTTTTTTCCACCCCGGAAATCTGAAGCATTGCTCAGATGTCAGGTCTTGCTAATTCTTGCAGATTTCAAATTTGATGATGTGCAGTGGAGTCAGAGTAATTCTTGAGGGGTGGGGACCCTGCAAACACCTGCTAGCTACAATCTGACTTCCTCCTTCCATGTTTTCCTGGAGATTGTGGTGTGGCAAAGCCAAGCTCAACAACAACACTGCCTCTTATTGCTGTGTCTTCCACCCATGCCATGGTTTGCTCCTCTCCCCAGCGATTTGTTTTCAGACCAAGCACAGGGATCTGTCTCCACTCACTCATGTTGTCTTGATAGTCAAGGATGTGTTTTATTCAAATACCGTGCCTCAGGATGTGAAAAACACCTTCACCCCTTTGAATGGTTCACCTCTCTAACCGATAGAGTGCTGCTTTTGCATCAGAGTGACAAAAATGGTGCCAGGTATACTATGGCTGCCAGTAGGTGATCTTTCCTGTGCAGTTTTTTGCTTCCGCTGCTAGAGGAAACCCCTCACCTCCCCAGAAGTCAAAAGGAAAATGCAGGCTGGCATTTAAAGAGAGATGCTCTGAATAATAGGTCCCATAGTCTGCATTGTATCGGAGATGTGCAGAGAAAAACTGAGAAGGCATGGTAGTTCACAATGTGTATTTCTGGCTAGGCTCTTCAATCCTTGTTCAGATGGTTATTTTTGATTCAAGACATTTATTACTGTAAGCAGTTTCCTGACAAAGAAGGGGATCAACTGAGGATGAGGAAGGAACCGCTCCCAAACCCTCAGATTAGCATTCAGTCTTGTTGTGAAATTTGATTTTTTCAGTTGGGTGATGTTTTGGTCTGGATTCAGAAGACTTCTTGACTCCCTCCGTGGACTTAAACAAACATTGTAGGACATGTTGGTAGCTTCCACGTGGGACTGAGAAAGATTTAGTGGCTTCCACCTTCATGCGTTCCTGGAGAGCACAGCAAGACAAAGACAAGCAGTCATGATGTTGTGGGACACTTCCTCAGGTGGCCTAGGGGGTTGCTAGAAATACATTTTAAGAGACAGCAACCCTGTCTCTTCAGGGAGTGATCTACAAACTGAGTTCTCCAGACGTTGCTGAGTTTTATAGCTCCTTAAAGCCCTAGATGACATAGTTAGAGATTGGGATTTGGGGAAGAAAAAGTATGACTGAAAAAAAAAAGAGGGAGCCAAGTTTGCAAATTGATATTCCAGGGCCAAAAAATAAAAAATAAAAAAGAGGTGTGAAGAAGAAGGTTCTGCTCAACTTGGGTTGTATGGTTTTCTTTTAGTTCTGACCGAGAAAAGAACAGGTTCGTGAAGTTGTTCGGCTAGATCCTAGCACTGCTCAAAGTTATTCTGGGACAGAGGCCAGGTGTACGCAGGCTAAGAGTTTGCTCGCACATCTGAGGAGAGAGATCTACAAGTTCTAGCTGTGGCTAGAGGGACTTTGACATGCATACTTTTCTCAGGCTCCCAGCTGTACACCCCCAATGGTACCTCCCAGGTACACTCCTTATACACCGGGAGTGGCACGAACTAGCCACCACTACTCCATCTCATTTTTAGGAGATGCTTCACTTCTGAAGCCCAAACATTCAGGACTTCATTCATGTTTTGGAATTTGCAGAGTCAGTATAGTGGCAATGCATTGTCTGTGTTTTCCTCCCCTGGGTCTGAGAGCCAAAGGTTGTCAATGGAGGGAGTTGAGTTACTACCAACAACAAACAGTCCAGTATCTTTATGGTCACTGGCCTAAATTACCTTGTGTGTCTCAGCATGTGGGCCCATTAGATCTGTAGAGTTTGCATAAATGTTGATTTCAAAATTCCCCACTGATTTAATTAATCTATTCTAATTAGGAATCATAATTGGATTTAGGTCCTTGTCTTTTGCTAAGCCCGGATCGCCTTCTACAAGATGCATCAGGGTGCATATCTCTTGTCTGTCATTCCATGTGTCCTATCTCTGGCAAGCCCAAACTATGACTTGTGATATGAGGTAGGAATATGAACAGAGATGTAAAATTTCCACAGAAACAATACAAAACAAAAAAACATTTCTTTTTTTTCCCAGAAAAAAAGAGGAGTTTTCCTTATTATTTTCCGGGGGGGATGGAATTTTGTGAAAAATGTCCATCTCTAAATATGAACCATAGTCCAGCTTGTTAGTTTACAGGGTGGGACAAGAACATGCATGCATTCTCTCTCCTGATGGCATCTGTGTGGCAATACTGCTATTCCTGCTAATGCTGAGGTGGTAGGGATAGAATTAACAGCCCACGGATGAGAGTAGGAGAAGCGAGCAATCTATCCACGAGCACATGGACTCAGGGTTTTTCTTCCTTTTCCCCATTAAAGGATCCAGCATTTGTCCCTCCATGCTAATTCTAAAACCCTAAATCAAGGCATTTTAAAACACATAAATGTAAAAGGGGGCATTCTCACCTTCTGGCTGCACAGAATTTTTATACAGTAGGATTACCCACGTATATTTGACTGTAACTTCCATTTGTGCTGAGCTTTATAAGGAATAGGCTTTACCAATTTTCATGTAATAGCTGGGGTATAAAATCAGCTGGTGGAGTGACTGTATGACGTCTAAGCTTGGGAGGTGCAAGAATTAAAGTCTTTTGATTGATTTGATTTCTTCGGATTTCTCAGCACATTTGAGTTTTGACAAAGAAAAAGTGTGAGCGGCGTTCTGGCATGTGGAACAGAACGTAAAGCTTGTCATTACTTTTTTAAACGGTCCTTCCTTCTGCGTTGTTAAAGGATGGTGGACATCACCACTCCATCACCCCGTCCTCTTCTGGCAAGAGAAACTGTCAACTCCAACCGAACTCTTGCCAACGTGTGCCTTGGGCGATTCCCAATTTGTAACGTGTTTGCTGGTGGTTGTGTATATTTTACATATAATAGAATAAGGGGATGATGAAGTATATTAGTTCTTTAATAATTTATAGGAATGCTTTGATGTTGCAGTAATTACATTAAAGGTCACATATCAAAGGTAATTTGGGTGAGCAGCTGTGATGGTTTCTCAAAAGCAATCAATATTTCTGTCCGTGGTGCTGATTTCACTAAGGGGCCTTCCAGATTAAAGGAAGCTTATTACCAGCCAGACGTACACAGGGGAAATCAAGAACAGATTGAGGAGACGCTTTGCTCTCTTCCCCCCACCTACAATTAACACCGTTCCCCCTTAATCTGTGCTAATCCTTCGTACGGAGGACAACCACTGGCCTTTTCAGACAAATTAGGCACAGGGTCTGTTTGACGGAGAGAACGGGAGGGGGGAGAGGCGAGCGTGAGTTGAGTCATTCATGGTGGGGATTTTTGGGCACGCTTTGTCAGAGATTCTAATAAATCTGCAGTGATAAAAACAGCCATATCAGAAATTCATCCCCATGATCTAGGAGAGAACGAAAATGTGATTTTGACGGTAAGGTCACAGGAGACGTGAAAGAAATGTTCTCACGCAGACCTCTCAAATTGGTCCCAACAGGAAATGGAATTTGCAAAGACGATGGTCTTTGTTGTCGTTATGGTGTATTATTCTGGTATTCCTATACTTTTCTCTTTGAAGAAAACCCATTCCAGTTCTCAGTTACAACCCATCTAACATGTTCCCTTCCTTTTTTTTTTTCCTCGAGGTTAATGTCGGAGGATAATGTTGTGAAATGTAATTACTCTATCAAGATCAGCTTTTATTTACGATCCAGATAAACTGAGCTCATGTCTAATAAGCTCCGTGGTATATTTCTCCCCCTCCCCATCTACATTTCTTTCTTCACTGAGA